CATTAAGCGTTGAGTTAAACCTCCTTGTCATTTAAACAGTGCAGTGTGCTGTTTTTAAGAAAGAAATAAAACAGATCAACTAAAACGGCTGCTGTTTTTTGCCTTGTTGCATAGAGCGCTTTGAGTACTCCGGGAGATTTGAAAAGCGCTATAGAAGAATCTGTCCATTTACCATAAAGATTAGATGTGAAAAAGCTTTTATGACCCCAAGACAACTGGAAACTGAGGTGTGACTCAGAATGCTGACTTAGTGTGTTTTTACAAAGAGGCACGCCCAGTGCTTGTCAGAAAGATAACCCTTTGTCTGTGAGCTGTGTAAACTGGGATTACAGTGGCCAACATTGTCTCTTATTCCCTACACAGGGTTGAGTAAAGACATCCCACCACCTGAACCCGAACTGCCTGCCGTGCCTGACCGCGGACCTCCACGATTTCAGCCTGATGGTGAGGGACAGGAGTGACGTTAGCCAAAATATGAATCAAATCAATGTGGTTTCATGACTAATCTCTGAATCCCTAGGCAACTTCACTGGTTGGACCACGAATGCGGAGGTCCTGCCCTATGATACAAGCGGCATACCTGAAGGTGTTGTGGTGTGTGCATTGCCTCGTTACAGGTAGGTGTTACTTGGGTCAGACATTACCACGATGCTGGGTATAACTGGGATTATCAGCAAAAATACTTGTAGAAATGACATTTAAAGAGTGGGTTGCTATATAACCTCTAGTTATATAATTACAGTGGTAGTAAGTATAACTCTTGTTTGTGGTGGTGTTCCCAGCTGGTTCGCCATGGAGCAGGTTGTGGACCTGAAAGCAGAAGGACTGTGGGACGAGCTGCTGGATGAGTTTCAGCCTGAAATTGCCATCCAAGACTGGTGGGTAAATAAACATAAATACAAACAAAAAATGTAAATAAATTAGTTATAGTTGTGACTGCATCATTTTGGTTTAGTTCAAAGTGAAACGATAGAACCTTTGCACCGAGTGAGTGAAGTGTAAAAGGGCCTAATAATGCTAACAGAGTTTGCAATGTCAAACAAGTTAAACAGGAGCAGTGTACCAATACCAGAGCCAATCCATATGAGCCTTTACCGCTTCTACAAAAAATGTCAGCAGTTCATTTAGGGACACAGCAGAGGGCGCTCGCAGGCTAGTCCTCAGTCAATAAAAGTGAATGAAACTGAACAGCTAAACCAGGGGTGTCAAACTCAAATACACAGTGGGCCAAAATTCAAAACTGGAACAAAGTCACAGGCTAACATTAATATTTATTGAAAAAAGAAAATCTTCCTCTAGATATAAGAATGAATCTTTTCTTATGGACTCAAACAAGTTTTGCTGAAAAACTGAATATGGAACAAGCAAAGCTTAATACTAAACGATATATATATTAGCTGTATAATACAAGTAGGCCAGCTCTAATAGTAATTTGGTATGGCTTTGGGGGCCAAATATAATTAGGCTGCGGGCCAAATTTGGCCCGCAGCCTAATTATAGAGTTTGACACCTAATTATAGAGTTTGACACCTATGAGCTAAACTAAGGATGCACAACTGCTTCTAGACAAAAAGGTCACACATTATGTTACTTTTAGCAAAAACTGTAATAAAATGACACTTAATGTACACACACTGGCATCCTGCTACTTATTGATCTGTTAAGGAGTTGCGACATCACGCATTAATAGCATTAATTTCCAAATGGTTATTGGTCAACAGAGAACTGTGTGTTTGTGTGTGTGTTTCAACAATCTGCTGCTAGAAATTCCCTACTGCTGCTTGTTTCATGCATGAAGTCAACACTGTAGATGCTTTTTTACTACAGACAAAACCCATAAAAGTAAAAAAGCAAAACGAAACTGAACTATATGCATTCATACAACCCCTTCTATTAGCAATGTGATAAAACTGACAGGAAGAAAAGCTCATTGGGATGGGGGGAGGGGGGATTCAAGTAATTTTGAGCATGGAATGGTTTATGGTCCCCAGCATGCTGTTTTAAGAATTTCACAAACCGCTGATCCCCTGGGGGTTTCCCACTCAACCGGCGGTAGGTTTTTACAGAGAATAACGAAATATCCAGCAAGCAGCAAGTCTCTGGGTTGATGTCAAAGGTGAGAGGAGATGGACACAATGCTTCGAGCTGTTAGGAACTACAGTTAGTCGATTAACCAGTTTTTAAAACCAAGGTATGCAGAAGAGCATCTCTGAACGTACAATGTGCTACAGTTCTCTTAAGACTCTTCAGGGTCATAGTCTTAGGATCAGAATTTGGCATTAACAAAATAAAAGCATTGATTCATCCTGTCTTATATCAACAATTGAGATGGACAGTGGTGTAATGGTGTAGGGAATATTTTCTTGCCACACTTTGGATCCCTTTTCCCCCCACACTAAACATAATTTAAATTCTACAACCCAAGTATTGTCACACAAAACATTTTTATGTGTATTGTACCCATCTTCTGACAGCTGCTTTCATCCCTCAATCTGGTTTCTTGAACATGACAATGAGTTATCTGTAATCAAATGGCCTCCACAGTTACCAGAGATCAAATCCAGTTAAGTAATGTTGTAAAACAGATGTTTTGCATCGTATATGTACAGCCAACAAATCTGCAGCCACTGGGTAATGCTGTCATGTCAGTATGGACTAAAACCTCTGAGGAATGTTTTCCCAGAATCTTGTTGAATTACCACACGGACTTAAGTTGGTTCTAGAAGCAAAAGGGGTTCTTATGCCGTACTAGCAATGTGTATGCAATGATTGTTGTACAAGTTGAGACACTAAAGAGATGAACTCCAAGTTTAAAATGCTTGAATTGACACATGCGTGGCTTCTGTTTGCATGCCAAAAAAGGAAGAACAGACTCTCTTAACTTCACATATATAGATGTGTTTCCACTTAAGTGACTGAGCTAGTCCCCTTACACTCCAGACATCCTGGTGCCAGCATAATAGCACTCATTCTCCCGAAGGTCCCAGATTTCTATACTATTTGTGAATATAAAGACATTCCACAAGCCTGGAGTGTATATGAGTGTATAATAATCTGCTCTGAACAATTTAATCACATAACATACAGAAAATGTCTTTGAGGTTTTTAGAAAAATCTAAGTGTGTCATGTTATCAGGTATGAGGAGAGTCAGCTGCACGACTCAATCTACCAGCTGCATGTGAAGTTACTGGGTGCGGATAAAAACACAGTGATCTCAGAGCACGCAGTCAACCCCACCGAGCAGCGACTGGTTTACTCTCACAACTGGAAAGAGGTGAGACTCTCATTTCTTTGCCACTACAGTGCACAGTGCTGTATTCCAGCATTTCAATGTACACATCTGTCTTGGCCTGCAGGTGTCACATGTGTTCTCCGGTTATGGACCCGGCGTGAGATATGTCCACTTCTTGCACCGACTGAAGAACAGCTTCCTAAATGGTTTCCACAATACACAGTTCACTGGCAGTGCAGTGATTGTACGACCAAGCAAAAGCAGCCCGTAGGCTAAATCTTACAGTGCAGCCATATCTGATAATGCACTCGGTGTAATCAGTTTCAGCAATATGTAACTGCATTTACAAAGGTTGTCATGACAATAATATAATGATGGACACAATCATCAATATTTGACTACTGGTTTTATGGGAGGCATGGGGGTGGGCCAGGAGGTGTAATTCACAGTTTTTCCTGAAGATTCTGATATGATGCGATAATAAAACATACAGTTTTCTGGTTTGAGAGTTGATCATTTCTTTTAAGTATTTACATATTTCGGTATTTAAAATATATATATGTTTGTGCAGTGTGTAAAACATTAACCATGCACTCACTATTTTACTATGTCAGGAGGTTTTATGAAATTCTTCTTGATGAAGAGCTTATATGTATGATTTATAAATATGATTTATGATCATATTTGAATGTAAAACGTGTTCATTGCAGGTTCTGGTAAGAATTATTTTTCCCAAATGTTTCTTGAAATTACTATGTTTTAATAATGTCATCCATCAGTTTTTTGTTAACCACTTATCTCCTTACAGCCCGGGGCAGGTCTTCAAGGATAAGGACAAACATAGTCCAACATTTTCTAAAAATCTGTTATTCATTCATTCATTCATGATAAAGGCAGTATATTTAAGATTCATTAGTTATTTCTCAAGAGTAAATTATTAGTATGTTGTACCATATGCCACATCATAAATATCTGTCCCACATAACACCTATCACTGAAGATATAACATTACCTTTGTGATCAGACTGTCATATTAGAAGTAATGCAAAGGTTAAGTACAAATAAACTCATTTATATTTAAATGGTTACATTTGCTTTGTATAATGGTTACATAACAACAAAGCATCCAGAATGGTGACCATACTGTACTCTTAGTAGCCTTTTGTTTAATTTCCAGTGGTGCTTTCTGATTAGAAGTGATGACGGATATACTTGGATTTTTACTACGAAGAGCTCTGTGCATGATTTTATATGAAAAATATTAACAGTGGCCTTTTTAGAACAAACAAATATACATTAATAACAATTAACTAGAACGCTTTTCAGACCAGAGTAAGACTTTATTCTGCCTGAAACTCCTAACAAGAGCTTACAATGTCATTAGTTCTTACCACACAATTCTAATAAACTGTATTTCAGCACATGAGCAGATTCTACCCACAAATAGAAATATTAGAAGGACAAAAAGTGGGTTTTTAAAAAATTCTGGGGAGGAAGCAAGCCTTCAGGAGAGCACGGTAACATCAACGTCTCATTTGTGCGTTTTAATCTGCTTAAGCTGCGTTCAGGCGCTCTCAAAAATCATTACATAAACAACGACATTAACCAGATTTATGTGGCGGGAACAAAGTCTCTTTGACGTTTGAGGTCGTGATTAATATATATTATTTCCAGTCTCAGAAACCTTTGCTCTTGATCCACTTTAAAAGCGTACAGTCCAAATTCACGATCTCGGGAGGAGACCCTGAAGGCAGCACGTCACGAGCCGCGTGGGCTCGCAGCATCACCACCTCTGTTAGCCACAATGTGAGTTAACGAGAAAGTTCACTTTGAGAGTTCAGCCTGCTGTCGACGCGGGGAAAGTTTAACCAGGACGCGTTTCTAGAGTTTCTGAAGCAATGGCAGCCTGTGGTGGAGAAGTCCCATAAAGCATAAGGTAAGACACGAAGGGAAGGGATGGCCAGCGAACAGGTGCGGCGGACAAACAGCGGTTGTGGCGGGCTGCTAGAGGCTACGCCCTCGCGATCCATGTACAGTTTTGATAGCTAACATTAAATAGGGCCGGGGTCACTACGCTGTTACAAACCTAATGACTTTAGTGGTTAAGCTGTCAGTCACACCAGTGAATTCTTTATCTATGTAATTATTTTCTATCATAGAAAAAAAGTGAGGTTAAAAGTTGCCCGGGATTTTTAAAATTTAAAAGCAACCTTGAGTCAAAAAGGAATGGGTTCGGGAAGGAAATAGTAAGCGGTGTGTGGCCAGTAAAAACAGGAATATAAACATTATATAATGAAGACAAGTACCTCTAGTCCGTATTTATTAATCCCATAATCTTTACCGTATATTTGCGTTATATAGTACAACTGGAAAAGCATCTAATGGATCATCACTGGCAGCTGCAAGTAAATGTTTGATGAGTGCTTGAAAACGAAATCTAATCTGCTACAGCTCCACCACATGTGCACAATAAAACACACAACAAAACCCGCACACTCCCCTACACTCCCACAAGACCACAAGACGCACAGAAAATGTGTTTGTGTGTTCCCGCTGGACATTTAGAGGTTTTATATGTTTTATTCAGAAAGCTTCGTCCCTGACATTTAATTCTGATAAGGGCTGGACTTCAGAGCTGACATTTAACTGACAGATAAACACTGTTCATTTAGCAGATTGGCTTCACACAGTATCCCCACTCACTCATCTCTTGTGTCCGCCACAGCCCTGGCTGGCCATCGGTGTGTTAAGAGTTGCTGATGTGTGAGACAGGAGGCGTTGACTGCAGATACATCCCCAGTGCTGGTTCATTATATTTGCTTAGAGAGATTATATCAGTTATATCACTTTTCAGATGAGGATCCAAAAAAGCACTATGATTATTCATTTTCTCTTTGTAGTTTTTTGTTTTTTGGCATACACTTATCTCTTCTGTTGTAATATCTATAGAGCTTAAATCCACTCCAATCAACTAGGAAGGTTGATGTTACACTTTGGGTGTATTTGAAACAATTAAATATTATGATGCAATGTCACATTTAAAGAGTCTTTGTAATGAGCAATTCAATATTAGGGATGATTATTTATTTGAGGCATGCTGACATATAGATATTGAATATCAGTACCACAACATATATCAGTGCTAGTGGCTAATGTCAATCTGTTGTTGCTTCGTCTTTCTGTCCAAACATTCAAAAATAGGGTGACGATGAGCCGAGTGACCCTGTTATGAGAACAGACAACCAAAAATATCCTCATCAGCATCAACTATTGTCGAAATTTTTATTTTATATTAGCCTCACAGTTAGCGTTGACGACTACCCGCCTCAGCACTCGGCGTCCATGCTCTGTAACTTTACATGGCCTGCTACTTTGTGACAGAGTTGCTATGGTAAGAGTTGATTATGAATGCATATGAAGTAAGACATTTATTTAACAGACCTGTTGCAACTGTGGCACCCTGTTACAGTGCCATGTTCAAATCCAGTGAACTCTATAGACCTGTTCATTCACAAGGGTTTATTCAAGCAGATTGCACAATTAGGTGCTTGAGTCCATACACATGTGCGATGAGAAACACCTGGATTAAAGGTGGTATGGTCTCATGCTTTTTCATTCTTTGTCAGTTCTATATTTTTTAAACAATTGTTTTAGTTACAGCCCAGTTTTCATGTTGTTTGCAGACAGATCGTTGCTGTCTTGCTTATGTGTGATATCTAAGCACAGGGAAGACAATATGTGTTGGGGGTTCAGGAGGTAAATCTAAGTAGTCTACCACTAAAGCTCACTGACACTTATCCTGAAATGCAAGCTCCTTCCCACAGACTCACACGTATGTGAGCGCTCAAGTAAACCAATGCGGCAGCATTAGGTGCAGTCACCCATATGTGCACCATTCGTGAGTGCCAAGGGACAACGGGCTATACTACACCTTACATTTCTCTCATATTTCACATGCGATTCCCCTGCATGTTAATCTCCAGGATTAAGGAAAACCAGGGTCAGGGTCTTATGGATGATATTTCTTTTTGAATTAGATTGGCTTACCTTGTTTGGATATCAGTTGTTGAATAGTGAGCCCAGAAAACCTCGGTCACGTAAATCACAAGTGAACAATTTCTGTTTATTTTGAACTTGTTAAGCTTGCTGTGATGTATAGTATTTATCAGTTTCTCTGTGAGTTCGTGTGATTGATGGGAAAAGGAGAGTCGGTGCGTATCAGGGTCTGTTTTGTTTTCATTGACTCGCTGGTCTATTGTGTTTGCCAGCCTGCTGGCTGCCTCTGCACATTTTGTTGATCTGAACTAGGTTGTTTTCCTGAATTAACATGTTCACAGTGAAGGATAAAAGTCACCTTTCAAACACAAAAATAAGTTCGTAGCTTGCTGTGTTTCCATTCCCATAATCTATGTTAGACTTCAGGCGACTGTGTGATGTCACCCAGTTAATGAACAGTACAAGTAACGTATTCACTTACACTGGGTAATAAGTAGAGATTCTCTTTTGAATGAGTTACAGCAAAGGGGGGGAAAGGAGTAGAGATGGCTTACAGGGGTAAGGTGCTGACCGTCTGTGTCTGAGCTATTATTTTGCGCAGCCATCAGTATGTATTTGTATATTCAGTCCACTGTTTATGTTTATGACAGTTTCCTGAATATTGCATAACAGGTGTCCCTGTCTGGGTTCATACTGAAGTTGAGAGTGCTGTT